CGCGAATCGAGTACGTCACACAATCAATATTTAAATTAGCTAGACGAAAAACAGTCAATTTAAAAAATATTTTAGATGACATTGGTAATTGTGGTAAGTTATAGCATTTAAAAAAACCTAACAGAACGTGAGCATGTTCGGTGTATACAGGGGGCGTAACTGTATAAGACCTCGTAATCTACTCACTAAGAAAACTGTCTGTCCAATGCGATTTCTTTTTCAACAATATAAACTAAGCTTAGACATCAATGATTAACGCGTCTAATAAAAAGACATAGCATAAAGACTAATAGGAAACTTTTGTTCGAGATTAATTCGTTTTCCCACGCCCGTAACATTATTCCTGTCGTTCCTATCAAGTTATTGTCGATATTAAAAAAAAAACACGCAGGTAATTGTTAGTGTGGTGTCTTCTAGTGAACGTTTTGTAGCAAACAATTACTGTAGATTTAAGTTGACAGAGGGATGATTGGTCCCGCGCGGTGTCTCCTTTGGGACGACTTTTATTAAAAGCGAACAGCTTATTTGACAAAGGTTTATGCACCAACGTACGATAACACTATTATTTTTCTGATCAGGGATTTCCAAAATTTTTGCTCGTTTCGTCTTTTGAAAGGAACAGCTGTGTCGTAGTCTAGGGTATTGGAGTGTCACAATTTCTATGTGGAACACTCATAATCATCAACCTGTTATTGTGATATAAAAGCATCATTAAAAAGCAATTGTGATACTCAGCTCATTTTGAACTCCATCAATTGATATAAAAAATGGAATAGAATGTTACTTTTCACTTGGGTAATAAAATACTCTTCAATTTTGAAAGTAACTTCCATAAAAAAAGACAATTTGTTTGTTTTGGTGGCGAGAAAATTGTTTAACGGTCTAGATATTTAAATAGCATCGCTTGTTTTAAATGTCACTCCCAAACTCTATGCAACGCTAGACGCAGGTATTGAAACAAAACAAATATAGTTATAACTTAACAGAGCGTTGAAATACTACCACAAATTTTGTTAGCATATGCTCTGCAGTAGGATCAAAAGACGCATTTTCGTCAGTTTTACTAATTGAAAGCAAAGGCCTCATGTTTGAAAGAGCAGTTAGAAACAACAGGGAAAATGACAAAAACAACGGAATGTAGTTCAATGTCATTGAAAGTGTATGATGAAAATAAGATTAAAACAGAGCCCTTTCATTGACGCCTTGGGCAATATTTACGCTTCACTTGTCAACTTCCAAAATTGCTGCAAGAGCACAACTAAAGATAACATATTCGTCGATGATCAAATATTTGCTTAAAACGTCCATCGCGATGTCCCTGATCTCGTTGTCGTTGTAGAGATATTTACGTCGTCTTAAACCAACTCTAAATTTCATGTTTACTGAAGCGGCTCGGCACTTCTAATGGGTGAAGGTTTGAGGTGGTACCTCAATACGACCAGTATAAAGTAGTGTTAGGCTCCTCACATAAATACAATAAGAGTATTGTATGCATATCTATATTTAACACTACAAATCAATTAAGATTCAAAAATCAATACGTTGGACCGAATAAATGTTTTAAACAAAATCCGAGTAGTAATGGTTTGTTAACCTTATTCGCTTATAGTTTCGGATTCTAAGAAATGGTTCAAAAGCTGCTTCTATGTTTGGCTTTTGATAGAGTTGTCTCTTTACACTCATTATACACACGAAGATTAGTTAAGACCGCATGGGAACGAAGATGATGTGTGACCTCATTCTTTTACTTAAAGATAAAATGTATCTGGGACTTTATCAATCGTTCTCCCTTATGACCACTAATCCTTTATAAAAGTAGAGGTGACAGGCCAGTCTTTCCTTTAGTACTGATAAACTGGAATTTATTTTGCCATCGGTATAGCTAAATATCAAATAAATGAACTGCTTGAAGATAATTAACTCATATTGCGGAGGGAAACCTTGTGTGCTGCGTGATCTAGTCTGAATAGCGACGCACATGTCTTCATAAAACTCGAATAGGATCCAAGGCGAGTTTGTCCTCTGACAAATACTAATAAATGCGAAAATGTGTTTGATATCAGAACGAACATTGCATCTATTCAGCCTCTTACTTATTTTTGTTTTAATTGTCAAATGTGAAAAAAATTAATGACCTGAATATTACCATCCGTAGATGATTATTTGGTATGGCAAATACAGATAGATTTCCACACTGTATGAGGCAGTCTGGTCTACCGTCAGTCATTTCAACACAGTTATCCCCTTGGTAACAATTCATTATATATCTTATACAGTTTCTGGTGATTCTTTTTATGCCGGATTGTCTATACATGTTTCAAAGCCAAATGTGACACCTGTTTATCATGTAAAATTATTGACGGAAAGCCGTTTCTTTATCGTTAATAAACTTAATAAACTGTAACTGTTATATCAAATATCTACATGTATATGCCACCTAGGAAGATGACGTATGTGGGTTTGCATTATGGTGTCCTTTTCGTTTTCAAATTGTACTGTTCCTTTGTAAAGCAAAAAATTATCAAATTGAAATATCATTGCGTGTTATTAAATATTTCTTCGTGTTAATACCAATGGGGGATGGTAACGCACCGCCTTTCACTAATGAGACCGGCCTTCGATTCCCTGATCTGGCGGGGAAAGGAATGGGGTCACTTTCTCGACCACGCGGATTTTCTATGGAACATCCAGTTTCCTCCCATATTAAAACCACCTACGCACTCACTTCCAGGCCAACAAAATTCACTAATTAAGTTGATATAGCTTGTTTAATAATGTATGTAAATTAAATACAGTTTATAGTGCAGTTTAATACCAGTACTATATACTGCGAACCACACGTCCCAACATACTTGCCCTCGTGGTAAAGGTACGTACCTAATTAGGTCACTGTTTATTACCTTGTCACTAATTAGACTACGACATCACTGGGGTAAAATAGCACTAAAGTCTTTATAACGAACTACTAAAACACATACAGCTCTTTTTTAGCTCGGCTGCTTTGCTAAGGGACTTTCATACCGAAAAAACATAGGCACTGTAGCAGGACGATTTACACCATGATATATATTGAAAACATTTAATGATTTCCCTTGGAATATCATATCCAATTGAAGAGTATTGCAAAATACCTATATTTTTTACAATCGCGACTGCAACCATTCATTCTACCGTCGATTCATCACATCAGCATTTAAACGCCTTTGAATGCAGTGAATATAAGATGCCGATCCGATTGGTCAATTCTAAAAGTCATATGTTCATTTGAAGACATAAACCTTCGTACATATTTTCTCCATTAAGTTTTTGTAGGTGTTTTATTTTCACTAATGACATATTACAAGTCGTAAAATTGTGTGCTTCATGGATGTGTTTGAGATGTTAGAAGATAAAATGGGTTGACAGTACAGTAACACATTCGATTAGTTAATTTCAGCTTTGTAATGAATTAACATATATACTATTTACAAATATATTTCGGGCTTATCAACAGTTGACTCATGTATTGAATTTGCATTTAAATTGATTATATTATTTTTTCTTAATTGCTCGACATACAACAGGAAGGCTCGTTTGGAGAAGCATAACGTCAGAAGATAACGTCGTCAGCTTCATACTAAATTGCCTAATGTTTCCAAATGGCACCCACCTAAGAAACTAGGTTCAGCTGAAAAAGATGAATTATCCGTAATAACGATAAGTTATCCCTTATAACGATGGGTTATCCCTAATAAGGTTGAGTTATCCCTAATAACGATGGGTTATCCCTAATGTAGATTGGTTTTCCTTACATAATGTAACAAAGATTGGTTATCATCAATTAAAATGGGTTTTTTCTAATTAAGATGGGTTTTCTCTAGTAAAGATGTGCTATCTCTAATTAAGGTTGGTTATCCTTAATTAAGATTGGTAATCCCTAAATAAAATTCACTATGTCTTTGAGCTATCCCAAATAAAGATGAATTTAGCCTAATAATGATGAGTTAACCATCATAAAGATGAGTTTTCCCTAATAAAGACGTGTTATCCAAAATAAAGAGGGGTTGTCCCTAAATAAGATTGGCTATGTATATGAGCTATCCCTAATAAAGATGGGTTATGTCTTAAAATTATCCCAAAAAAAGATGGGTTATATCTTTGAGTTATCCCTAATAAAGATTGGTATGTCTTTTAGTTATCCCTAATAAAGATTGGTATATCTTTTAGGTATCCCTAATAAAGATTGGTATGTCTTTTAGGTATCCCTAATAAAGATTGGTATGTCTTTTAGCTATCCCTAATGAAGATGGGTTATGTCTTTGAGTTATCCATAATGAAGATGGGTTATCCCTAATAAAGATGGGGTATCCCTAAAAAAGATTGCCTATCCCTTATAAAGATGAGCTATCCCTAACAAAGATTGGTTATCCCTTATAAAGATGAGATAACCTTAATGAAGATGGGTTATCCCTAATAAAAAATTGGTTATGTTAAGTATATTATTTATCCCTAATAAAGATGGGTTTCTGTATTGAAGTATTTCTAGGAAACGGCGCAAACCTGTTTGTATCTATCTACATCGGGAATCTTCACAAACAGGAAGGACGTTTTAAAGTTAATATCAGCACTGTTATGTACCATCTCAAAAATATTACCCGAACAGTTTCGCTGACAAACTGCCGGCTGTTTTCGTTTTGTAGTGTATCTAATAGACATCCAATCTTAAAATGAATCAAGCTCTGAAATATCTCGAAATAAAGCGTTAAAAAATATTTTGAGATCGTTGACCAGTATCTATGGGCATTAATTCTTTTGAAAGTAAAAAACACCATTACCCTGTCCATGTAACATTAAAGTAAGAACCTATAAGAGTACAGCGTAGTCCTGAAAAAATCGTAAAAAGAATTTTGCTGTTTAAATATAAAGCATCGGACAAAAACAGCTCGAAAAGGATAGCGCTATACAAATTATTGCTTGTTAAATCCAGATAAAACATATATGGTAAGAAAACGATCACTTACCTTTACTGTTAATAGTGGTCAGTGCTTGTCCACGAAGTGAAGAGTCCTGTTCTATAAGGAACAGATATGTATGTATGAGTAGGCGAGAGAAGCGTACAGGCCACACGATGACACAGCTAACAGTATCCACGTCTTTCCTCTCACGCCGTTTATATAGTCCGCCAATTCTGTGGGGGTAACTGGGGTTACCTACTAAAAAGCATGAATCAAAAATATAAAAATGTATCCGTCCATCGTTTCCATGGAGAAATAATATATGGCATGTCGTCAGCACTTTCTGAGCTTGATTGCCATCATATTCTAAGCACTTGTTTACGATTGGTTTCGTTAGCTGTGCTATTTATGCGTGGCATATTAAGCTTTGGTCGAAGCGTCCTTTATAACTGGACATGACCATTTACCGCCTTAACTTAACAGTTAATTGGTGAACACTTTGCGCACGACCATTTCTTTTGTTGGTGCCATTCACATGTATATTATATGGAGGTCCATTGATACTTACGTACCACGTAATGATATATCGTACCTGCCTAATAATACATTATTAAATCAAATATTTTGCAAACCGTATAATAAGTCTGAATCTGCCTATTTTCAGCGTAATGTGTTTTCGCAAGCGTGCTTTAATTGACTAATTGCAGGTCAACATGGTTAGCATGGTATTTACTCATCCTTCTATTAAAGAAAAGGGAGATTAGTTTAATACGCACAATCTTCATGTACATGTTAGCAATAGACGCTTAGTAGAATAATAATATATCCGTAACGTAAGTCATAAAGTCTGAGTGGAAATATATTAAAAAACGTTAGTCAAGCATGATATAACTCCTACACGCCGAGTGCACCAATTACGTTATGCTAAACGCAAGTCATACACGATGAATGCATGAAGAATTGTACATACAGTGTACATAACGTAAGTCATACCAGATGAATGCATGAAGAATTGTACATACAGTGAACATAATGTTAGTCATACACGATGAGTGGAAGAACTGTTCATACAGTGTACATTATGTTAGTCATATACGATTAATGAGGAATTGTACATTCAGTGTGCATAACGTAAGTCAAACGCGATGAATGCATTAAGAATTGTACATACAGTATACATAACGTACGTCATACACGATGAATGAAGGATTGTACATACAGTGTACATAATGTAAGTCATACACGATAAATGAAGGATTGTACATACAGTGTACATAATGTAAGTCATACACGATAAATGAAGGATTGTACATACAGTGTACATAATGTAAGTCATACACGATAAATGAAGGATTGTACATACAGTGTACATAATGTAAGTCATACACGATAAATGAAGGATTGTACATACAGTGTACATAACGTAAGTCATACCAGATGAATGCATGAAGAATTGTACATACAGTGTACATAACGTAAGCCATACACGATGAGTGGAGGGAACTGTTCATACACTGTACATTATGTTAGTCATATACGATTAATGAGGAATTGTACATTCAGTGTGCATAACGTAAGTCAAACACGATGAATGCATTAAGAATTGTACATACAGTGTACATAACGTAAGCCATACACGATGAGTGGAGGGAACTGTTCATACAGTGTACATTATGTTAGTCATATACGATTAATGAGGAATTGTACATTCAGTGTACATAACGTAAGTCATACACGATGAATGAAGGATTGTACAAACAGTGTACATAACGTAAGTCATACACGATGAATGCATGAGGAATTGTGCATACAGTGTACATAACGTAAGTCATACACGATGAATGCATGAAGAATTGTGCATACAGTGTACATAACGTAAGTCATACACGATAAATACATGAAGAATTGTACATACAGTGTACATAACGTAAGTCATACACGATGAATGCATGAAGAATTGTACATACAGTGAACATAATGTGAGTCATACACGATGAGTGGAAGAACTGTTCATACAGTGTACATTATGTTAGTCATATACGATTAATGAAGAATTGTACAAACAGTGTACATAATGTTAGTCATACACGATTAATGAGGAACTGTTCATACAGTGAACATAATGTAAGTCCTACACGATTGATGAGGAACTGTTCTGCAGTGTACATAATGTTAGTCATACACGATGAATGGAAGAACTGTTCATACCGTGTACATTATGTTAGTCATATACGATTAATGAAGAATTGTACATACAGTGCACATAATGTTAGTCATACACGATGAATGGAAGAACTGTTCATACCGTGTACATTATGTTAGTCATATACGATTAATGAAGAATTGTACATACAGTGTACATAACGTAAGTCATACACGATGAATGCATGAATAATTGTACATACAGTGTACATAATGTTAGTCATACACGATGAGTGGAAGAACTGTTCATACAGTGTACATTATGTTAGTCATATACGATTAATGAAGAATTGTACATACAGTGTACATAATGTTAGTCACACACGATTAATGAGGAACTGTTCATACTGTGTACATAATGTTAGTCATACACGATTAATGAGGAACTGTTCCTACAGTGAACATAATGTTAGTCAAACACGATTAAGGAGGAACTGTTCATACAGTGTACATAATGTTAGTCACACACGATTAATGAGGAACTGTTCATACAGTGAACATAATGTTAGTCTTACACGATTAATGAGGAACTGTACATACAGTGAACATAATGTAAGTCATACACGATGAATGAAAGAACTGTTCCTACAGTGTACATAATGTTAGTCATACACGATTAATGAGGAACTGTGCATACAGTGTACATAATGTAAGTCATACACGATTAATGAAAAACTGTTTTGCAGTGTACATAACGTAAGTCATACACGATGAATGAAGGATTGTACATACAGTGTACATAATGTAAGTCATACACGATGGATGGAAGGATTGTACAAACAGTGTACATAACGTAAGTCATACACGATGAATGAAGAATTGTACATACAGTATACATAACGTACGTCATACACGATGAATGAAGGATTGTACATACAGTGTACATAATGTATGTAATACACGATGAATGAAGGATTTTACAAACAGTGTACATAACGTAAGTCATTCACGATGAATGAAGGATTGTACATACAGTGTACGTAAGTCATACACGATGAATGGAGGATTGTACAAACAGTGTACATAATGTAAGGCATACACGATGGATGGAAGGACCGTACAAACAGTGTACATAATGTAAGTCCTACACGATGGATTGAAGAACTGTACATACAGTGGACATAATGTAAGTCATGCACGATGAATGAAGGATTGCACATACAGTTTACATAATGTGAGTCATGCACGATGAATGAAGGATTGTACATCCAGTGTACATAACGTAAGTCATACCCGATGAATGAAGAATTGTACATACAGTTTACATAATGTAAGTCATACACGATAAATGAAGGATTGTACATACAGTGTACATAATGTATGTCATACACGATGGATGGAAGGACTGTACAAACAGTGTACATAATGTAAGGCATACACGATGGATGGAAGGACCGTACAAACAGTGTACATAATGTGAGTCATACACGATGAATGAAGGAGTGTACAAACAGTGTACATAACGGAAGTCATACACGATGAATGAAGAATTGTACATACAGTTTACATAATGTAAGTCATACACGATGGATGGAAGGACTGTACAAACAGTGTACATAATGTAAGTCATACATGATGAATGAAGGATTGTACATACAGTGTACATACAGTGTACATAATGTAAGTCATACATGATGAATGAAGGATTGTACAAACAGAGTACATAACGTAAGTCATACACGATGAATGCATGAAGAATTGTACATACAGTTTACATAATGTAAGTCATGCAAGCTGAATGAAGGATTGTACATACAGTGTAAATAATGTAAGTCATACACGATAAATGAAGGATTGTACATACAGTTTACATACTGTAAGTCATACACGATGAATGGAAGAACCGTACATACAGTGTACATAATGTAAGTCATACACGATGGATGGAAGGACTGTACAAACAGTGTACATAATGTAAGTCATACACGATGAATGAAGGATTGTACAAACAGTGTACATAATGTGAGTCATACACGATGAATGAAGGATGGTACAAACAGTGTACATAATGTAAGTCATACATGATGGATGGAAGGATTGTACAAACAGTGTACATTATGTAAGTCATACACGATGGATGGAAGGACCGTACAAACAGTGTACATAATGTAAGTCATACACGATGGATGGAAGAATTGTACATACAGTGTACATAATGTAAGTCATACACGCTGAATAATTGATTTGGTTTAGTATTGTTTAACGTCCTATCAACAGCTATGGTCATTATAAGGGCGGCCTCCCCTGTGTACAAGATGCACCCCATCCGGTCATACGCTGAATGAAGAATTGTACGTATTGTGTACATAATGTTATTCATACAGTGTACATAATGTAAGCCATACACGATTAATGGAAAGCGTTTCTCGTTTATTGGTACAGGCGAGTTAGTTCAAATATATCTTATCTACATTATTTTCGAGAATATGAATTGAAGGTTGATGTTATTCACAAATAAACGATAAAGTTTACCTTTCTCGAGTTACGAGTCGGAGTAGAGACACTGTTTATGGGGCTTTGTTCTTAGTTGATTAAGAATCTACTTAAGCACCCCGATGATACTATAAGCTTTGTTTATGGCTAATAACGATTCCCGTTTATGGCAGCATTTATTCGTGTACCATTATTAAAAAGTCTCAGATCAAAAGATGGCTAAAAACTTGTGTGTTCACAGGAAATTTGTATTCCTTACAAAGCGCTAGTGGCTACCTACAGGGATTCCCGTAGTTTTGATGAGTTCACAGTTTTTGTCCCGATATGTGTTCTGAGTAAGTACTAGTGTGATGATGCTGTGGGTAATTTTGTTATTGATTGCCTCAAGAATCCTTATAACCACCGTTTTATCGCTGGCTCTTCTAACTGTTCAACCAAGCCATTATCCAAACTTCTCACTTCCATTCCCGTTAACATTATATCAGGCCTTCAGTCTTGTTGTGATACTGTTGTCGCGCACCTCAGACAAAGATTT